AGAGAGAGAGAGAGAGAGAGAGAGAGAGAGAGAGAGAGAGAGAGAGAGAGAGAGAGAGAGAGAGATTAATTCGTCAAAGGTTAGAAGTAATTAAATTATGTCTTTCTGAAGCAAGTACTAAATATTTCTGATTGTCCTAATTAAAATAAAAATGCTGTAACATCCCAAAAAAAAGGCTCAATTAAAAGAACCATAATAGTGGAAGACTTTCTCTCTGTGGGAGAAAGTGAAATGTTTGAGGGGAAAAGTTGACTTAAAATGGGGTGAGGATTGTTGACACATTGTGGAAAAAAGGATGAATGGCATGAAGGAAATGCAAAGACTCTTCCATCACCAGAGTCTCTTTTTTTTATACAGTAAGTACACAATGAACTGAATTCAGGGCAAATAAAGAATGTTTATCCAGTTGTTACCTCCCTGCAATAAAATGACTCTTGGCAGTTTATGTAGAGAATAAAACAAATTCAATGTTTCGCAAGCTGATTAACACCTGAAAGTTTTGCAATCTGATATTAACAGCCATCAAAAGTTATACACAAGAGATAACATTTAATGACCAAAATAAGGAATAAATAATGATGCCATACATAAACTCAAGAGAGTATAGAAATAACAGATGGTTGTCATAGAGACAAGTGTCTTGTGTTGCTTCTTTATTCTTTCTTCAATGTCAATTCAACGCCATTTTCATCAGAAAATGCAAATATCCAAGGCAGAGTGATGCAAAATAAACTCACCGGAAAGCTAACATAACTTAAACAAGCATTTTATTAAACTGAAACTACCAGATTACCAAGAGTTACTGGTTTCTTGTATCCAGGAACATCAAGAGCTAAAGTTATAATGCACTGCTGATCTTCTGTAGAAAATTTATCAAAGTCAGTTTATGGGTGGATAAATACCTGTAGAAATACCAGTACATTATAGCTGATGAGGATACAAAGTAATGATACTTGGAGAGATTTTTTATATAGAAAGAACAAGGGAGTGACATAATAGCAACATTGTACCTTATGCCAGGCAGGGTCCCTTAAGGCCCTCTTTTGCATAGATAGATAGATAGGTAGGAAGGTAGGTAGGTAGGTAGGTAGGTAGGTAGGTAGGTAGGTAGGTAGGTAGGTAGATAGATATAGAGATAGAGAAATAGATATAGATATAGATATAGATATAGATATATAGATATAGATATAGAAACATAGAAATAGATATAGAGATAGAGATAGAGATATAGATATAGATATAGATGATAGATAGATAGATAGAAATAGATATATAGATATAGATATAGATATAGATGATAGATAGATAGATAGAA